GAAAACGTGAGTACCGACTTCAAAAAAGTGGTTTTGAGAAAAACGCGTTTAAAGTGCCGCATCTGCTCGACGCCAGAGTCCGAATTGCCAGTTGTGACTCTTTCGTACGCTGGGCTTTAAATTTCTCCCATTCCTACAGTTTTGCTTCAATCGACTTGGAATTTTCGGATAACATTCCTGACACTTTGTACTATTATATAAAAAAGTTTGAAAAAAATGAATTTTTTGAAGTGTCAAGACCCGGATAACCCATTAAGTGACGCCTTCTTTCGCGTCTATTAAGTATTATTAAAGCGCGAAAAATTTAATATTGTAGCACCTGTAATTTTGGTAAAACTCTGATTTTAAATCACAAAAGAGTAAAAGTGTATGTTGTATTTGTTGGAAAGTATGGGACAGGTAGAAGGAACTGTTTCTGAACCAATAAAATATTATGTTCTTGATCACGATCAATATATGTATGAGTCAATAAACTATGTCCGCTATGTCGGAAACTATAGGAGCTCGAGATTTGAGCATGAAGATTTTATGTTTTCTTGCAAAGATCAAGTTTACTTACGTCCACAAATCACAAAATACGTTAGAGATCTATAGGCGAAAAATATCAAAACTAGCACCAAAATCATTATTCAGTCAATATTCATATCAATATTTGAAGTGTTAATTACGACGTCATTGCATATTTGAAAACGGGGTTCGCACTTAGCTTATGGTGTTTGCACTGCAGTTCGACATTTCTATTATAAAATTTTCGAAAAACGCAAAAGCTGAGGGCCAATTTTTAATTTAAATTGGTTAGCGAATAACGGGTATTTTATAGTCGGGGCACTCGACTATAGCGTTTCTTCTTTTTATACCCTTGCAGGAGTATTTTAATTTCAGTCAAAAGTTTGCAACGCAGTGAAGGAGACATTTCCGACCCTATAAAATATATATATTCTTGATCAGCATCACTAGGAGAGTCGATCTATCCATGACCGTCCATCCGTTTCTACGCAAACTTGTCCCTCATTTTTAAAGCTATCTGCTTGAAACTTTCCCAAAAGTGGTATTTCTATTGCATATAAGTCTAAACGAAGCGGATCGGGCGACTATATCTTATAGCTCCCTTATAATGTATAACTTTGTTGTTTTCAATTTGGAATCACGGTTTTAATTAATTTAAAATTAAACATCTATAGCCATATAGCTCCCATCGAAAAAATCAAAAAAAAAATAAAAAGAAATAAAAATATAAAAAAAATAAAAATAAAATAAAAAAAATATAATAAAAAAATGATGTAAAAGTAAAAATACTTTACAATTTTATTTAGCTGTCATAGATGGCAAAATGCAGCGCTAAATCGACATAGCTTAATTGTTTTTAGTAATATAGGCATAAAAATCGAAATGTAGTCGTTTTGTCATATCTGCAAGGGTATATAAACTTCGGCAAGCCATCCAATCTGTTTTTAAACTTATTTAGATCGGATGTAAGTCAAAACGGGAGGAAACATTTTATACTGCAATCATAATTGAATATTATATGCGTTTATTAGTACAAGAGAATAACTTATAACTAAGAGAAGATTTTAAAAAAATAAAGTAAAAAGAAGCGGACCAAGATGGATCCCTTGTGGAAAGCCGCAGATAATAAGGAGAGCTTTAGAAAAATAATATTTAGACGACTCTTTTTGCCACTTAAATAATTAATATCCATCCAAGGTGATAGTTTGTGAAAATGATTCCCTTCAAATTTGAGTAAATATGAAAGTTTCTATAGGTAACTAATTTGAGAGGGCTTTAAAACACAGTTTCAGCACAGTACGTAAGCACACACCCAGGAATACAGAGCCCTGTCGAATGAACAGGCTGAACACTCAAAAGATCAAATGATGGACGCCGTAATGTTTTTTTTGTGATTGGTGTTGACGAAGGTATAAACAACAAGAAAGAAAGCAAGCTTCGGCTTGCCTATTTTTCAGCCTCTAAATATTCTTTTTCTAAAGCTCTCCTAATTATCTGCGGCTTTCCACAAGGGATCCATCTTGGTCCGATTCTTTTTCTTTATTTTTTTTTAAATCTTCTCTTAGTTATACAAGAGATTGTACTAATAAACGCATATAATTATGATTGCAGTATAAAATGTTTCCTCCCGTTTTGACTTACATCCGATCTAAATAAGTTTAAAAACAGATTGGATGGCTTGCCGAAGTTTATATACCCTTGCAGATATGACAAAACGACTACATTTCGATTTTTATGCCTATATTACTAAAAACAATGAAGCTATGTCGATTTAGCGCTGCATTTTGCCATCTATGCCAACTAAATAAAATTGTAAAGTATTTTTACTTTTACATCATTTTTTTATTATATTTTTTTTATTTTATTTTTATACAATATAGGCGTCCTTTTGGACCCACAGAGCTGGAAAGCAAACACCTATAAGCTACGGTCAAGCATGGCGGGGGTCATGTAATGGTTTGTGCCTGTATGGCAGCTTCTGGCGGGGCAACCTCGTTTTTTTTGAAGTTATCATGGATGGCCAAGATGTACCTACAGATTCATAAGGAAAACCAGCTCCAAACTGCTGAAAAACTGGGCATACGCGATCGATTTCGATTTTACCAGGACAACGATCCGAAGCATTCAGCAGGAATTGTGGAGGTTTATCTTGTCTGGAACTGCCCTCATGCCGTCATAACGTGATAAATGTGATCAAAAATTTATGGGAAATATTGGACATCGCTATAAGGAAGAGGAAGATTTCGAACAAAAACGACATGTAAAGTGTTCTTATGGAAGAATGGCCAAAAATTCCAGTGGAAACCACTAAAAAGTTAGTTTCTTCCTTGGGAAATCATCTCAAAGCTGTCCTGAACCAGAAAGGAGGACATACCAAATATTAGCTTTGAACTGCACGAAATAAGCTGCGGCATGAAAAAAGCCTGTACATTTTGTTTTTATTTAATAAGTATTTTGTTTTTACGATTAAGGAAATCGTTTTAATTTAATAAACAAGTTAATATTCCCTTTTAAAATACTGCATTCAAGTTTTTCTGTTATCTTTCTTAGTTTAGCAGGAATAACGACTTGAACTTTTTTTAGGTAACTGCACGAAATAAGCTGCGATCCACTGTATATCGGTATGTCTTCTTTAGTTTCGTTTCAACTTGTATGTACATATACATTTATATACATACAGTCAACACAATATTTATTCGGACACCCGTGATTTTGATTTTGATTCATTAATAACTCAACAAAAACGTAACGAAAACAAACAATTTATATTTCATCGTGAAGGTTAACATTCTTAGAATATATTTTAACAAAAAAATAAGGAACTTTCAACAGTAAAATTAGATATTTTCTTAAATTAACTTGAAAAGTCATAATTTTACGCACAGAAATTATTCGGACACTTCATATAATTATTAAAAAAACATATTTCTTGATGTTTTAATATTTTTAATATTTGGTGGGTCCTCCACTAACATCAATGACAGCTTGTAAGCGTCGACCCATGCTTTTTACCAAGTTGCTTGTCTCATTACCGCTAATTTGACCCCATTCAGCCATCAATGCAGTTTTTAAGGACTCCCTGGACGAAATGACGTGCTTCCGAATCCTTTTCTCAAGAATATCTCAAACATGTTCTATGGGACTTAAATTAGGTGACTGGGGAGGTGTTTTCAGCTGCTTGCAGTGATATAAAAGCCACTCTTACACCAAAGACGAAGAATGTTGTCTTGTTGAAACAACAATGTCTTCGGATCTAGACCAAGTTTTATATCACTTGGAATCAAATTTTCGCTTAAAATTTTTTTGTAGATATTCTTATTAATTTTGTCGTCAATAAAGACCATTTGACCGACTTCTTCTTCCGATACACACCCCCAAATCATTACATTCCCGCCACCATGCTAAACAGTTGGAATTAAGTTCTTCTCATTCATGGCTTCATTTGGTTTCCTCCACACTTTCGAGTGCCCATAGTGTCCAAATATGTAAAATTTGGATTTGTCGCCTAAAACTACGTTCTCCCAAAACGAATCCGGGTGGTTATATGCAGTTTTCCAAACTCCAAACGCTTTTTTTTGTTGATGGCAGAAAATAATTGCTTTCGACGAGCAACTCTGCCATGTAAACCAGCCTTGTACAGGTAGTTTCGGATGGTTTTGGCCCAAAATTTTTTATTTTCGCTTGCTCTACATTCTTTTGAATTGTTGTAGATGTTGTTTTCGGATTTTTCAGGACTGTAGACATAAATTTCCGTCCCTCACGTGAGTACAAAATCTTAGACCTTCTAGCTTTCTTGTGACTTGAAGCTCATTATTCCGTTTTTAAGTATTTTTGGATTATACTATGTATTGTGGAAGGTGATTTTCCATTAATACGACCGATTTCGCGATAACTACGATTTTCCAAAAATGAATTTAAGATAGGTTTTCGAAAATCTAGTGACAAATCTTGAACTCCTTTCATTTTGACCAATCGTATCAAAAAAACACATAAAAACTAACAAAAAAAAAAAAAAAAGCACGCCGAAAATTACTCCGAAGTAATTTCATCTAAACTACTTTAAAAAGAATCGCCTATTACCGTTGAGCTCAGAAATAAACACAATAAATGAGAAATGTACGAATAATTTTTGTGCAACATTTTAGCAACTTTTTGCTTTTCTTTTAATATTTTTAAGGCTAATTTAAAAAATTACATTTTTGTTTGTGTAATGTCTTCTGAAAATCACTGTTTCTATGATAAGTACAAAAAAACCTGCTAAAATTACGAAAATTCCGGCAAATAAGCTGTTAAACTTGATAATAGACAGTGTCCGAATAAATTTTGTGCTGACTGTATTTACTGAAACTGAAGTTAGCATGTGTAAGTAAATATATTAAATTCAATTAAATATATAGGGAAAATAGATTCAGTGTACTGTTTACTGAAATAAACACAACACGTTAGCTACTATTTTTGCCCACTGTATTTCTTTACCTTTTTTAATCACTTACGTTTGTTAAAAAAACTAGTGTTACGTAAACACAATTTATTTAATGCATTGGTTTGTTTCGAAATAAAAGAATTTTGACCACAATTCAATATATTTGCCCTCCAAACTTGACCGAATAACCGGCCAATTAAATTCTGATTCATTTTTATAAATTTTTCTATACCGAATACTTAAAACGGATTTTCAATTTACCCGGAAAATAACGCAGAGTACGTTCACCAAAATAAATAAGGGTCAAAATAACGTCGGGAGGTTTGCGGTAAAAATGAAACAATGGAAAATGAAAGCAACTTGATTTTTTTTCGTTGACGCTGAATCCACACTGCGACGAATTATGGTGTTATCGAGTTAAGCCTAGTATCCTGATCGACGAAAACCGTACGCCAGTCATGAGAGAGAGCGAGAGGCAAACAGCCGGCGTTCACTTTTCGTCGGGCTTTTTTTTCACGTCGGTCCCCTGATCGACGAAAAATATACCAGAAAATTCCATAGCGTTGCCAGTCTGCTGAAATGAACTTTGGGTGAACCCTAGCGAAAAGAATAAAGCCTAGTACTCAGATCGACAATCGAGTACGCTAGCGTAAAAACTTTAATTTTTCCAGTGTGACCAAAATTTCGAGAGCTAATAAGAATTATGCGTGCTACGGTCGTACTGTCAGTCAACTGGGTTTGTTAACAAGCAGTTAAAATTCAAATATCGTATTTGCGGGAAAGAGCCTTTTGAAAGATATTATACTAGGCTTAAGGACAAAATAACATTCATACTATCTGGGGTGTCTCTTGACCAAACAAAATGTTTCTTAGGTCAAAAATTTTCGAAAAAACACAATGCAGCTATGAACTTTAAATTAGCAAATAATTATCAGTAAATTAAAAAAAAACAACTGTTAAATTTAAATTGTATTGTTTTTTAATATCTTTGTACTGCGGCAGACTTGTCTTGCCAAGGTATTTGATAATATCTTTTAAAGGCTCTTTCCCGCAAATACGATATTTGAATTTTAACTGCTTGTCAACAAACCCAGCTGACTGACAGTACGACCGTAGTACGCTTAAATCTGATGAACTCTCAAACTTTTGGTCAAACTGGAAAGATTAAAGTTTTTACGCTAGCGTAATCGTTTGTCGATCTGGATACTAGGCTTAAGGAATATAACTGCAATGAATAATCCAAAAGTGCAATTTTAACATAAAAGTGCATAAAATAAAATACAAAGCATAGACCCTGCCCATGTAGGCATAAAACAAAAAAATTTTTACTGTATAAAAAAAATATATATTAATAATAAGTGCTAAATCATTAGAATTGTGCGAGAATCCATTCCTAAGAAAATTAAATATCTTAATTTGTTTGTGTTTTGTCGGGTTAATTTTTGCCTAAGCCGCCATCCTTTAATTCAAAGGCCTACTGTAGCCGCGTTTCATACCTACCCAAAAAGTCAAAACAAACACAACGCCCAAAACAAAAACTATGTAAAAGTGCTTATATCTGTCTATTCTCTTGCCCACGCCGTATAAAAATTAACAAGTTATTAAAGTTCGGTTAAATTAAGCTAAAGCGTTTTATCTAATTTTCTTTATTAAAGCCTAGTACTCAGATCGACGAAAACCGTACGCCAGTCATGAGAGAGAGCGAGAGTCGTTGACTTTTCGTCGGGCCTTTTTTTCACCTCGGTACTCAGATCGACGAAAAAATTTCATAGCGTTGCCAGTCTGCTGAAATGAACTTTGGGTGAACCCTAGCGAAATGAATAAAAATTTAATCTTTTGGCGTGCGCTTCTCACTGAACATTTTAAAAAATGGAGGGGAAAAATCAAAAAACCCGCAAAAGTCTATTGCAGGAGTGAGGATTATTGCATGTGAGGACAAAATAACATTAATACTGTCTGGGGTGCCTCTTGTCAGAGCAAAATGTTGCACGATAAAAGTGCAGCTATGAACTTTAAATCAGCAAATAATTATCAGTAAATTAAAAAAAAAAATTGGTAACTTTAATTGTATTGTTTTTTAATTTCTTTGTACAGCGGCAGTTTTGTCTTGCCAAGGTAGTTGATAATATCTTTTAAAGGCTCCTTCCCGCAAATACGATATTTGAATTTTAACTGCTTGTCAATAAACCCAGCTGACTGACAGTACGACCGTAGCAAGCTTAATTCTGATGAACACACGAAATTTTGGTCACACTGGAAAGATTAAAGTTTTTACGCTAGCGTACACGCTTGTCGATCTGAGTACTAGGCTTTAAAAATAAAGATCTAGAATGCAAAAAGTGAAAAGATAACGTGTTCCCATACCCAATATTTCTGCCATGAGAGCTATTTTTTTTCTTTCTTCCTTTTATACCCTTGCAGAGGGTATTATAATTTTGGTCAAAAGTGTGCAACGTAGTGAAGGAGACATCTCCGACCCTATAAAGTATATGTCGGCGCACACTAAGAGTGTGTGCATGTTGGTATGAGTGTATGGGTATATTCTCGGGAATTTCACCAGAAGGCCTATTTCATCACTATTGGTAATATTGCATTAGCCTCTAATTCTGCTGTGTCATGTTGTCGCTTTAAGAAATTGCGTTTTAGCGGGGCGACAGCGTAGTGTCGCTGTCGCCGAGTGTGGTTCGGTGGTAAGCACAAAAGGAAGAAGGAACGATGCATTTCAGTTGCGTTTAGAACTTGAGGTGTGCGAAACCGAAACTCGCTGCGCTACTACGATGTCGGATGAGAATAACCCTGCTGCAACATCAGAAGTGGGATCTGGCTCGCTACCTAGTGAATCAGATGGGCCATGGAAAATTTTAATGGAAATGCAAAATAAAAATTTGATCGAGCTTATCAAAGCCGTACAATCTGCGACACCAGAAACAACAAATAAAAAAACAATTGTGCTACCAAAATTTAACGCAGACCTTGATGGCGCAGACGCATCGGCGTGGTGTTCTACAGTAAATATAATTTTGGCAGAAAATACCGTAAAAGGCAGCGCGTTGGTAATGGCCTTGAGTGCATCGTTGGAAGGTAGTGCGTCGCAGTGGCTTTCACAAATATGTTATCCTGACATAACTTGGGACGAATTTAAAGAACTCTTCATGCAGCGTTTTGGCAGTGCAGAAACGCCAGCGGCTATGTTTCTGTCAATGTTAGCTAATTGTCCGACCGATGGCGAATGCCTCTCCAATTATGCTAGTCGTATGATGACGTCACTTATTACGAAATGGCGTGACATGGACGTGGAAGAAATTGCAGTTTCTGTGACGCTTGCGAAGATGGCTTATGTTGATAACAGGTTGCAGCGTCTAACCTTTACTTCAAATATGCGCACCAGAAGTCAATTGCAAACCGAGCTTAAAGCATTCACGTTCAACAAAAGGAAGAAAAATCAGCAAGAGGAAATTTCTTTACCTGACATAAAGCGTCCGAAACTTTCAACAATTAAATGTCATTTCTGTGGAAAATTAGGCCACAAGATGATGGAATGTCGAGCTAGACAGCAGCAAATTCATCATTCGTCTCAGGCTATGAACAGTAGCGGCAGGAGTGCATTTGGCCACAACAAAAAAACGAATGTAACCTGCTTTAAGTGTGGTGAACTTGGCCATATTTCAACACATTGCAGTAAGACCAAAGTGGATAAAGTCAAGGATACACACCAGATGAAAAGAGTGGAGCTATGCGAAGTTGTTGAGCCCAAAGGAGAGATGGTTCTTCATGATCAGACGTTTATAACAACATTCGACTCTGGAGCGGAATGTTCATTAATAAAACAAAAGATAAGTGTCAAATTAGTTGGTAAAAGAATTAACAATGTAGTGATGTTAAAGGGTATTGGTAGTGGCGGTATATGTAGCACATTGCAAATACTTAGCAACGTAAAAATTAATCAACACTGTATTGAAGTTTTGTTTCATGTTTTGGACAATGAGTATTTGAAGAATGATATTATTATTGGTCGAGAAGTACTGTACCCTGGATTTAATGTTATAATATCACCAGGAAAATTCGAAATTATTAGAGCAAAAACTGTAAACTATTGTTCAAATGATGAGCAATTTTGTGAATTAGATACTGATCTTGTTGGGGAAGATAGAGATAAATTACAAAATTTATTGGAAAATTATTCAAAATCTTTTATTAATGGAATTCCTTCGACTAGAGTTGGTTCGGGTGAAATGAAAATTAAATTAGTAGACCCAAGAAAAATTGTTCAAAGAAGACCATATAGACTTAGCCCAAATGAAAGAGAATTGGTACGAGACAAGATTAATGAATTATTACAATGTAAAATTATAAGGCCAAGTTGCTCACCTTACGCAAGTCCCATAATGTTGGTTAACAAAAAAGACGGCACTCATCGTCTGTGTGTTGATTACCGTGAATTAAATTCTAATACAGTCGCAGATAGATATCCCTTGCCCCTTATATCAGACCAGATAGCCAGACTTTATGGAGCGAAATATTTTACATGCTTAGACATGGCAAGTGGGTATTATCAAATTCCCATGCACGAAGAATCGGTAGAGCGCACAGCATTTGTCACTCCAGAAGGACAATATGAATTTTTGGCAATGCCGTTTGGGCTCAGGAATGCACCTTCAATATTTCAACGCACAGTCATGCAAGCACTAGGAGACCTTGCAAATACGTTTGTTGTCGTTTATATGGATGACGTAATGGTGGCTGCTGCAACAAAAAGTGAGGCGTTGGAAAGGTTGCAAATTACCCTTGATTGTCTCACGAATGCTGGATTCTCATTTAATATAAAAAAATGTTCTTTTCTCAAGTCAACAGTTCAATATCTCGGATTTGAAGTGAGTGCAGGTGAAATCCGCCCCAATTCGGTTAAAGTCACAGCGTTAACTACCTTGCCACCACCTCAGTCAGTGTCTGCTTTACGCCAATTTATTGGATTAGCGTCTTACTTCAGGCAATTTATGCAAGGATTTTCCTGTTTTATGAAACCGTTATATCTTTTAACTTCGGAGAAGAATGATTTTGTTTGGAGATCGGAACACGAAGAAATTAGACAAAAAGTTATTTCTATCCTTACACAAAAGCCAGTCTTAGTAATTTTTGATCCGAGCCATCTTATTGAGTTACATACTGATGCAAGTTCTCGTGGATATGGTGCCATCTTGTTACATAAAATCAACAACAAGCCTCATGTCATTGAATATTTTAGTAAGGCTGCTTCTCCTGCTGAATCACGGTATCATTCTTATGAATTAGAAACTCTTGCTGTTGTTTTGGC